ATTTTTCCAACTTTAATTGACTGAATTTATTTGCCGTATTCCATTATACTTTTTTAATTTGCTGAGGGCCGATTCAAAATGGCGGGCCACATTTGGCCCCCGGGCCGTAGTTTGGACACCCCTTGTATAGTGGAATGACCTTTTTTTTTTTTTTAGCTTTGCAGACTTTCTATCCATGGTTGTCTCTTTGTCCAGTCCACAGACCTGGTCAGCATGGTGTACAGCTGCATCGGGGCGGAGATTGAGGATTCTGATGGCAGCAGCTCCTGCGACATCAAAGACACGGAGCAGGATACTGACAGGTCCACCATCGTCTCCGACGTGCCCCCCGACGCCCACACCAACGGCCACGTAGCGTCCTCCAGGGAGCAGCCTGAGAGGCAGGCGGAGGGTGTCCGGCAGGAGAGGATCGTCCCCCTCACAGACCCTCGGAGCGACGTGGAGGAGGACAGAGAGGGGAGCCAGACCAGGCCCGAGCCCCCCCCACAGAGCTGCAAGCCCTCTATGGCTGTCATGAGGCAGAGACACCTGCAGGAGAGCCTAGGTACTGCACCTCATACAGCAAGTTATTTTTCAAATTAATTTGACCTTGCTTTGGCTCTGGTTGGACATTAGTTATTGTGTATTTCAACCCTCATACAAACAGCCTATCTGACTTTATATTTGTAACTAAACTTAGTGGAAAACTGGCATTGCTATACTGACTGAAAAGTGTTCTCACCTTCCTCGTCTGCAGGGCCAGATGTCTGTATATTCTGCTTTTAAAATATCCCTACGGCACAAAACAGCATATTTGTTGGATGAGATTTTTACATTAGATAAGATATACCGTATTAATTCCAAATTGGGAATTGTAATATGATACAGCAGCATCTAAAAAATACATTAAATAAATAAACTCTAAATAAATACACATTTGCAAAAAAATAATGTATCCTATCCATCTGTAGAGTATAACAAATAAAAATACAAAACATTTAAATATACAGAAACATTTATAAAACATTATAATAGACTAACCTGCTACTACTAGGCAAGGCAAGTTTCATAAAATATAAACTATTGACATTATTAAGTGGTATTATTAACATTTTCAAACTACATACTTAGTTTACTTTATTTCAATTACTGAGGAATTTTTTTTTTTTTTCACCATTACTACTAATAATAATAATTTTTAAAAAATCATTAATAATTGTAATAATCTTATAGGACAGATTCTATATCGGTGAGTTAAATACTAATGGCATCGTTATTTCAAACACCATTTTATTTCACTTTAAACAACAACAATTGAAATGTAGAGCATAAACATAATATTGTCAGATTGTAATTCTATCGTATATTTACTGTCAAATATAATTCTAATGATACTTTTGAATCAAAATCTCTTTCAAAATGTGTCACCTTTTTTGGTTCTATTGTGGGACCTTCATTAATTATGATAACTATAAATAATGTAAAATTAATATAGAATTCAAAAATCTACAGTTTTTGTAACATAGTGTAAAGAAATGTACGGATGGGGGGGAAAAAGCCCAAAAGACGCCGTTTGAAAAGTTTGAAAAGGTAACAAACTGTAAAAGTAAAAGTTAGATAAACATCATTAAACAGGGTGTCCGCGGGGTCTTAAAAATTATTAAAAGTTGATCAATCAATTTAGCGAAAATGAAGGCTATTAAACGGCATTTTCCAAGGTATTACATTTTGTAGCTTGTTTTCAATAACTATATAAATTGTCCAAAGAGGTTGTATTCTGCAGTCTGCCTGAATGTAATCATTGCGTAGATGTGTAGTGTGATTCTGTGTAGTTTATTTATGGCATCCCGTTGGATTTGACATCATCTGAACAGGACATCGCACGCTCACTGCTTGATAGCGAGCGAAGGTCCGTTTACGCTGGTTGTTAAGCAACATCGTTATGGGGAAATGCAAGTCTGCGTCCAAATGGTTGGAAGATAAGGAGGAAGGACAATGTGAGGTTAAGTGTGTCGCCAATGTAACCGGTTAGAACTCCAAGTGGCGATGAGGTCTTAAAATGTATGGAAAGGGTCTTAAAAAAGGTCTTAAAAGGTCTTACATCTGACTTCAGGATTCCTGCATATACCCTGTTAAAAGAAATGGTGTTCTGTCAAAGTCAGTTTGAAAAGGGATAAATGGACAGAGTTTTGATTTGTTCAGTCTCAAAAGTACGCTTTCCCTTTAAAAAGAGCGGCCCATTGTTGATTTCAAGTCTAGACTCCATAATGAGCCAAACATCCTCAGTTACAAACATCGCTGCAGACTGCACTCTGGCTCAAGGGGAATTAAGACGTCCGTACATAGCTCCAGTCCAGAGCGGGGCATGCCATCAAATCAATGGGAGAATCTGCAGTCAGAATGTCATTACAAATTGAGAAATGCTAATGAAAAGTACATTTTTATAGTTTCTGCAATTTGTGCAGAGCAATAAATATGAATAATAGGTTCTGCTCCTGCTAATTGAATGAAGATCAATGACTGCCTATCAGCTTATTAACATGCATATAGTATATGCACACATCAAGTGGCAAGCATAATATTCATTTCATCAGTTCAATTTCAAGATGTATTTGGGTGAGAAAGCCTTTATCGTAGATACTGTACATTTCTCATCCCGTGTCGAACAGAGTGCGTATAAAGTCAAATATGTTATATTAAGCGTTTTTTTCTTTCCTCAGAAGAGGCAGGCAGGCTGCAAGTAGAAGAGGACCAGAGTGACCGAAAACATGAAGAGAAGCAGAGAGGAAGAGGACCAGAAGGCCAGCGTCCTCTCCTGCCCACCAAGGTATGTGAAGTAAAGAAGGAAAAGAATCTGAAGACTTGTGTGAAATAACACAAATGCTCTATTCCTCCTCCAGCTGAGCCTCGATATCCTAAGAGATACGAGCTCTCCAGAAAAGGCTGTGCGTTCTCCCAAAAGCTCGCCCATCAGCCCAGGTGAAGAGCTGACCAATGAGCAGAGGAGCCTCCCTCCAGCTCAGCCAATCATTGAAGAAGATGGGACCAGCCCCCCAGCGTCTGCCAATCCGGGGAGAGAAGCAGCGGATCCTGCCAGTCAAGGTGCTGAAACAATGATACTCTGCGGTAGATAGAGAAGTGGCAGATTGTGTAGATCACTAAGATAAAACAATATAAGAATATACAGGATGAGTATAATGCACCTTGATGAACTAACCTAATGTTTAGAAGCAGAGTCGCGTTTAAGTCCCCATTGTTAACAAGAAAAACAAAGTATTATTTCTAGTATAATAATTCAGAAATCTTGTTTACATAACTCTTACAGGTCTAGTCAGCATACTGTGCCGTCTTCTTCTCCTCCTCCTCCTCATGCTCCGCCATTCACCTCGGCTTCTTCTTCGTCTCCCTCTTTTCTCTCTCTCTTTCCTCCTCCTTCAACCTCTTCTTCTTCTGATTTTCATCTTCCTTCTTCTTCGTCTTATTCTTCTTCTCTCTCTTGTCTTTCCTCTCCTCTTCCTTCTTGTTCTTCACTGTTTATTGGGCGGATAACAAACCAACTTTAAAACAATATCTATTTTTAAATTCCTTTCTTTGTATTAGCGGGCAATCATTTAATGACTTTAATTTGGATCATAATATTCATCCCATTATTGGCATATTTGTTATATTTTGTGTGCCTCATGTATAATATGCAATCCTTGATTTTCTATTGAAAAATGTCAGAATTGAGCAACGAATGTTTCTGTTTAACCTGGTAGATGTAAGGAGACTACTGAATGCTGTATGTTGTTGATGATGTCAGAAGGCCATTATGGAAAGAATAAATGCAGATGATGATGTTTTTTGTTACTCTTCCACCAACCAGATGAAGGCCGTAATGGATTCCCCGCAGCATCGCGTCACACCAGGAAGTCCAACTCGTTCGACATAGGTACCGTACTTCTTTCTCTGTGTGCTTGATAAACTCAACATGCATGCTGTTTGGCTCTACACGTGCATGAATGAGACAAATTGACATCTTGCTGTTTTCTCCATAATTCATAACAATGGCCCACTGCCTTGTTATCATTATATCAAATGAAAGCAGCGTGATTTTGATGTCCTCCCATGCCTGATAGATCTTCCTGCCCGCTTTATCCTGCAACCCCCCCCCCCTCCCCCCTTTTTGTTCCCACATCCCACGCTGTCTGTGTGCCTCGTGCCATTTCCCTTCAGGCATGGACCCGGACAGCCCCTACGATCTGGAGAGGTCCTCAGATCGCAGATTCCCTGTGAAAAAGCCCAGTTTCCCCCAGTACAGAAACAGCTCTCTGGACTTCCCAGCGGGGACCAGGTGTATGTATCTGTTTCACTTCCTGAATGTGCGGTATGACGGCCATGTGGCATGTGATCTGGCACAGTTTTAATTTGACAAAAAATTAAAGGAGTCCTATTATGCTTTTTGGGGTTTTCCCTATCCTGCAGTCAGTGTGTTATATAGGTTTGTGTGCAGGCAAATGGTCTGCAAAGGCTACAATCCCAAAGTTCTCTCCAGAGGGAGTTTCTCTCCAAGAGCTCTGGATACAGCGTTGGAGGCATGACACTTTCATTCATATAAAAGTTGCTCAGTGGCCTCTCCAGAGCAATATTACCTGGGTTTAGGGTTAAGCCCCGCCTCCGATGTCCTGCTCTCGGTTCAGTCAAATGAAAGGAGAGGAAAAAACTCAGAATTTGGCTTTTAGCGCATTTTACAACTTTAAGAGCCTAATGATTTGAGGATAATGAATAAGGGTTAGAAAAGTGTTGGTACTGGGTGGTTGTTTTAGTTTAAAAATAAGTATCTGCTGATTTACAGACCTCTCTTTCCCAATGTAAGTCAATGGGAAAGGTTTTTATAAGCCCAATGACGTCATAGACTGACACGGAACACATCTTCCTGGGGGCCTTTTTCCCTTCTGTAACATGGTGACATCTTTATGTAACACTTGCATTTCTATTGGCTAGCGCTCCAACACATCGTACGTGATAGGCTAAGGGGCAGGACATCTTTGTCCATTGGACCAATCACAACAGACCAGCTAACCAATCAGAGCAGACTGGGCTCTGGTTTCAGACAGAGGGTGAAAAGAGGTGCTGCAGCACAGGCAGTATGAGGAAAATAAAGAGCTTTTTGAACATTAGAGCATGGAGACATGTCACAGTAGAGACACAGAATACAAATATGAACCTGAAGATGAGCGTAATAGGCCCCCTAAAAGCAGAACATCTGTAAACAACCCTATTTTGTCACCAAATGTTGCACCAAAAAAATCCTTGTAGACTTTCTCACAGTGATGAGTCATACCGAACATATTGTATGCATGCATCCTTGTTCCGCTATTTTTATGAATGGCTCCAAAGAAAGAAATCACAAAACATCCTTTAAAGCTGTTATTTGGCTGTTCCCCAGCACGTCTCCCTGCAGCTGGCAGCCGCTCCGACACGGCCTGGATGAGAGTGCTATTAGTCGGGAACCTCGCCATATTTCAAATAAAGAACCTTTTATCACTCCTGCTTTAATCGAGCAGATTCCTTTCTGATACCACGTCTTATTATGGAGATAATTGGCAGCCATGTTTAGCTGACTCGTTGTCGATTTTGACACTGAGACGTTTTTCCGTTGGAGATGAGAATCCTGTGGCGGAGGAATTCTAGGAGCTCTAATGACACAGCAACACCGCTGCCAATCCTCTCCGTCATACACAGCTGTTTGTCAAGAAGCTGCTCCTGCGTGAGGCTCAATTAGCATCACTGTGAGGATGATGATGATAAGTCACAGACGACGGGAAAACAGCCGCTTATACAGGAAGTGTGCCTGCTGGGCTGGGTTATAATAGTTTGAATTTTCGGTTACTTTGTTAGATGGAATAGATGTTGAGGATTAGGGCCACAAGTGAATGTTTTTGTTGTGTTTTTGTTATGACTTTAATCTCTGAATTCTGTATTTAAAGTCAGAACTCCAAAAAGAAAAATCCCTTTTGGTCAGATATCTTAAAAAATATCACATGACATAAAAACGAAACCAGAAATGAATTTACGATTATTAAAATCATATTTATTTATTATTAATTGTTCCTTTTTTAGCTAGTGATATGATGAGAAAAAAGAACCTAAAACGAATTTACGTTCATTTATTTACATTTTTTTACAAGACAACAAATATAAGTTAAGTTGTTTAAAGGATATCTTTTTTTGTAGTCTCAAATAAAGTTTGACAGAATTTTGTTGATATATGTTGACTAAAAAAACTGAATATGTTTTTTTTTACTTAGCTACAATTATCAACACTTTTTAAAATTAATAAATCAATTGTCTCATTTATTTATTTATTACATAATTGTACTATACTTTAATAGCCAACAGCATTTGTGTTTGCAGTACAGTGTGATATCTGAATACTGGAAGTCTGTGAAGAGTACACAGAGAACATCATTAGCATTCGTTTAGAGTCGTGTTTGCAGCCAATCTGGTGAATTTAAATCCAATGTTATTCTCCTTTAAGCATTTAGCGCTCACTAACTAGACGCTTACTCTGTCTGTCTGTTGTTTGGTTTACAGCAAGTAGCGTACAGATGGTTTATTGTAAAGAGAAATCTGTCTGATATGGTTTAAAGAAGGTAGATAGCTGACTTGTGTGACAAAAAAAAAGAAAACAGATACAGACACTAGTACATGTTATTATATTAGTGCAGCTATAAACCTGCAACAACTTCATTGTTTAGCCACAGAAACAACCTCTTACAGTTTCTATAGTGAATCACATTGAGTTGACTATTCAAACATAATGCAGACATTAGCGTGGTTTTGAACTGATTCATGTTAGTTGAATATGCACTCTCCTTTTAGCTCTGCAGATCTAGATAATCATAATTTTATGTGGATTCACCATGAAATCTGCATTTTTAATAATATTAATAACTTATTTATCAAGCACTTTTCAAAAACAACGTCACAAAGTTTGTTATTTACTTTTTTGCCGATCAAATTACACTTGAATGAAGTGCATAGGCAGTGGAACGTTTCTAAGTGGGAGCGACAGGTGTGTCTCCACTGTGGAGGTTTATTTCCATAAAATACAAGATCATAAAAAACACATCTCTTTGTATATGAGCTTGTCCCCACCTTCATTGAATTTAAAAGGATAGAAATGTTTAATCTGAAGACTAAAAGTGCTTAAGTTTGTGCACTTAATAATGAATACATGTGAAATGCAACAATGTGATTTTACACGTACACATCTTTAGCATCCAAACTCCACTGGAATGGATTTTAAACATTGAAGTTCATAAAACTGCCACTTCTCGTTCAACAAAATGAATAATAAAGTGACAAATCACCTTCACAGTGGAATTATTAAAAGTATAACTGTGTAATGCTTACAGTTGGGAATCGTTTGTATTTTAACGATTCGACTTCAGATTGCGGTTCTGCTTTTCATTTGTGGTTCCTTATGAGGTTAAAACTTAGCCAATAATGCCAATTTCTTAATAATTAATACATGTGAAATGCACCAATGGGATTTTCTTTTTAATTGTTTGGATTGTATAGCCACATAATGGGCTCCATTTTCTGAATGATTTAAGTAAGTCAATATTTTATTGAATTGTAATATGATCTGGGAGTCCAATGTAACAGTTAAGCATATAATAATGTGATGATGCCAATAGATGAGACTTGATGTTATCTGCAATTAGGTGGATTAAAAAAAGGTTTGTATATTGGCAATTGGCCAAAATGAATTGGAAGATATCGGCACATCTGTCAATACCCTATAATCGTTTTCCTTAAGTATGTCTCCATTAGTGCAACCCTTCCCTTTACACATAATCACAAACTCATTTCCAAGGAGGACCTTTGAACTGCACAGTCCTGCATTGACACTGTTTCTGCTTGTTTTAGGTTATGAGAGCCCCCAGCTGGGCAACAGAGACGCGTTATGACGTTACCAGAGCACCAGGAGGAGCTTTCTGGGGAGGGACTGGAACAACGAGGACTGGAGAGAAACAAGCTTTTAAAAAACCGTGTGGACTCAAGAGACAAAGCTCCAACAGCTGCTCCCCCCTCTCAATTTTAACCCATGTAAACATTTTTTGCTGAAAATGCATGCACTGGTATGCTTTCTGTTTTTAACTGGTTGCACTTGCTATTTTCTCAGGCATTAAGGACGCTCTAAACCCGTAGTACATAAAGCACACAATCCGTCTCTCCAGTCATCATGAACTATTTTATGCATTTGTGCAAAAATATTGAGAATACCGTCGTCTCATCCCTCGTTCCCCGTCTTTTACTGACAATCTGTGACTACTAAGAGTGAGTTTGTACCGTCTTGATTCTAGTGAAGGTGTAAATAATGAATCTAAAAACTGCACTAACCATTGTGGTAAACAATCATGTTTTTATTTGTGATAATATGTCATTTGATAACTGTGTTTGTGAGTATGCTTTTTGGTGGTGATGATTGAGAAATGTGTGTTTCATGCACTTAGCACTCCCATCTCTTCAAGAGTATTTAAGTCAGTCAGTGTTTGAATCAGATTTTTTTCAGGCCTGAAAATTAGTATATTTTCTAAAAAATGCTTCTATGAATCGGAATAAATAAAATTGACTTTACACGAGGTACTGTGTTATTTAAATTCACATTTATGAGGCATCCTGCAAATACATTTAGATGTTATGAAATAAGAGCAACGTGCATTTCCCCAAATAACCCTAACCCTTCTGTTGGGCTTAGTAACACTTTTCCAAATAAATATTTTGAGGTTTAGGGAATTGCACTGCTGCTTTTATTGCAGATCGTTTGGGAACATTTTAATCACTTTACTGTCTGTTAAGAAACATAAAGAAACATATAAGCCTATAGCTCAGCCTATGCATTTTCTGGGGGGGAAAAAACAATGTTTCTGTACCTGTAAAATCAACACTTCTCATTTTAAAATTATTGACGAGATGTAGCCTTAAGGACGACACAGATTGTATAGAAGCTACGAAATAATCACCCTACTTCTCAATTGATTCTAAGTTAACATTTTCCTATCAAGTTAATGGTCTCAATTGCTAGTTTCAACTCTTCTTCAATACAGTTATATATATGGTTTATTTAGGATTAAATAAACAATGTGTTTGTCTTAGGGCGGGGCTACCTTGTGATTGGCATGTCACTACAGATTTAGAGTTGTCAGGTTTGGGTGCTCTTTGCGTTTTTGTTTTCAACGTTGACCCTTTCCCGGTTTATTTCAGTTCAGGGAAGTTCAATATAACATGTTGGTCTCCTAAAAATGTCTTGTTCATCGTTTAGTTGTACTTATAGTTCCACCCTGTGTCACTACTGCTTTCCCAAATGGCGGCTATCAAGATGCCAAAAAGTAGTCCACGAATGGTTTAATGTAATGCTATTGGTTGCATTATAGGCATAAGTATCCATTCTTAAGCTTGACAAATACCAGAAATTCCAGATGTCTTAACATTCTGTTGCTTTTATTTTGACAATTTTCTTAAATATCTGTCTGTTATTGGTGACTGGTTTTATGTAAGTGCAATTGATGTAGCACTTCTTTTAATCGGACACGTCCCAATTCATTTTTCCTAAACACACAAGCCAACAATAATCCAGTTTAAGTGGCTTATCCATGTTTTTTAAAACTAGGCTGTTTATTTGTTTTCAAACCTAAAAACCCTAACGTTTTCTTATTATTTCAGATATAATCACTCCAGCCCACTTTTGACGGGCAGTTTGTGTCTCTGAGCAACAGATGGCAGCAGAGACTCATCCCCTGTCCTGAAACCACCTGCTCACTGTTCCATTGACAAGTGGCTGCCAATTCATCGTGCACTTTCATTACCATACACTTGGATCTGCACCACAGTCTGCAGTAATGAAGGCAGAATATGCATGATGATACAGCTGTTGTGATTTTAGCAGACGTCGGAGAGAGATTTAATAATGAGCGACATCAGCAGAAAACATGATCCTTAATTAATCCCAGGCATTTAATGAGCAGATTAGGCCTAAACAGTGTATTCTCACTCTTGCACGCTCTGTCAGCTTTTCCAAACCATGACGAGACTGTCTGTTTGTCTGAAAATGAGAAGCGATTAATTCCCGGCATCCAGTCATCTGAACAGCCACAATGCAAGGGCAGATCACAGAAAGGGGTTTTGCGTTCACTGGGTCACCAGATAAGCTCGGTTGCCTCAGTGTTTCGATACAAACAGAGTCCCACGCACCATATGCCCACCTGAATGTTTCATTACAGTATCTGTAAACCTATGCTGGACAAACATGCATTAACATTATTATTCAAGGCTTTTCCAGTTCATCCCAATGCGTATTGGATGATGTGAGGGTGTTTTTTGCATGTTTCCAAGCTTACTCTTTTGTGTGTGTGTGTGTGTGTGTTTGTGTGTGTTTGAGCTCATCTCGCTTTATTACAGCTGACTTCCCCTCTCTTCTCATTCAATCTTGCTTTTCCTCAGTACACACATGTACTAAACGCTCATATGTCTTGCAGAACCTTCAACCTTTCAGGCAAGCAAAGATTAACTGTCACTGGCAAACACACACAAATAACCTCAGGGAGTTGACATGGTCTGATTTTATTTTGTTGTCCATCGCTTCCCAGTTGATCTTTGATGAAGGATTAACTGATATTACGGAACGTCATTTTACCTGTGTGTGTGTGTGTGTGTGCGCTATATAAATGCAGGCTTTTTACCATTACCATTTGCACTGGTACACTTTGCTGTGTGTGTGTGTGTGTGTGTGTGTGTGTGTGTGTGTGTGTGTGTGTGTGTGTGTGTGTGTGTGTGTGTGTGTGTGTGTGTGTG